GGAGCCTGAGCCCCTCAGATGGGCACTGGGCAATGACAGCTGCCCTGCAGCTCAGCCCTGCGAGCAGCACTCGGAGCCAGCTCTGCTCCCCTGGGCTCTCCTGGGATGGCTTCTTCTGGAATGTGAGCCCGCAGCCTCTGCCCTCCCCACAGCCATGATCAGGGCCCTCTTCACCGTGGGCAGGGAGCTGCTGTTTCCAAAGCTCACTTCTCCCGCTTCCCGGCAGGAGTGCAGCGAGCTGCGAGAGCTGTCCATCCGCATGCTCGCAGAGCTGCTGCAGCTAGTGGTCGGCAGGGATGAGAAGAGGATGAGGAAGGAGGTGCGGCGGGCACTGGTGCCGCTCCTCTTCCACGTGAGCGACCAGGTCCCCGGCGTGGCCAAGGTACAGGTTTGGAGGCTGAGCCCTGACACACAGAGGGCTGGGCTGACACCCCCCAGGGCTCCTGGGCATCGGGGCAAGGGCTGCTGGCAGCGGGCAGCGCTCCCCCAGCACAGCCCGTGGGAAGGTCCGTGCGGAGCCAGCGCCAGCAGGGCCGGAGAAGCTGGCATGGCCCTGTGCAACACCTGCCCTGCCTGCTCCTGCTGGGCTCGGCAGCAGCCCGGGGCCACCAAGGCCCAAACAGGGGCATCCCCACCGGCTGTGTCGGAGGCCAGGACTTTGAGCCTCCATGCCTGTCCCCCAGGGCTGTCCCCAAAAGGCTCCCAGGCATTTGGGCCAGGGCATGTCCCAGCTTCCTAAAGGCAGGATCCCCCCAGGAACAAAGCCAAGAAGTCTCCTTGCCCAGGCCCCCGGGCCATCCCTGAGCTCAGGCTGTCCTGCAGGCCTCCAGGGAAGCCCTTCTTGCTGCCGCAGAGCTGCTGAAGTGGAAGACGCTCAAGCACCTGCTGCAGAGAGAGCGGCTGTGGGAGCTTGGAGCGTGCTTGGTAAGGACAAGCTGTGGGGCCCAGGCTGGGGGAGGGCTGCCCCCCATCCCATGTCTGGGCTGGGGGCTCTGCAGCTGGGCAGAGCCTGGAGCTGCATCCTTGTTGCTGCCCTCAAGAACAGGGCCCAAAGGGCTCTTCTGCAGGCCCCTGTCCCCTCCCTGTAGCCAGCAGGAGGGGAGGCCTCTCCGTCCCGGGGGGGCTGGCAGGAGACACCGCTCCAGCCGACTGCATGACAGCCCTTGAGAGACATGCCTTGTTCTCTCTGCAGCTGCAGAAGAGCAGGGCTGAAGACTTCATCCCTCAGAGCCTGCCGTACCTGCAGGACCCTCAGGCCGACGTGCGCCTGGCGGCCGTCAGGTTCATCGGTGAGTGCCAGCCCCTGCGGTGCCTCTGGGGGCAGCCTGGCCCCTGTGCCGCTGCTGCCCCAGCAACGAGGGGCAGCCCTGGGGCTGCCCCAGCCCCGGCCACCCCGGACAGGGCCTTGCCTCCCTCTGCCAGCCCTGCCCATGCAGGGGGGCTTGGTGGCTGCCTGTCTCAGTCCCACTCCCATGAGCTTCTGGGGACTCCTGGGCTCAGCCGTGCTGAGGGGGAGGAGGGTAGGACCAGGGGCCCTGCTGCTGGGAGTAGGCTGGGGAGCAGGGGCTAATGGAGCTCTGTGCCCAGGACTCATCACGCGGCGCCTGAGGGACCAGACCACAGAGAGCCGGGCCGATATCCTGAGCGGTGAGTGGGGAGCGTGGTCTCTCGGGAATCCGAAGGGTCTCTGCAGACATGGGGGTTTATCTGGCCTCTGTTTCTTTCGGTCACAGCGCTTCAGCCCTTGGAGAAAGACTGGGACATCTCTGTCAGTGCCCTGGCAGCTCGGACAACCTTCATTCTGAGGAGTCCTTGCGTGCAGCAAAGACCAAGAGGCCTTCTACAAGCACTGCGCTGCTGCTGGCCGTGAGCCCGGCAGAGGTGCGGCTTGCCTTGGCTAAAGGACCGGGGGCGAATAAAGCTGGAACAACATGCCCAAAGCCTTGGTGTCCTTCCGCTGCGCCGTGCTGAGTGTGCCCAGCCGACCGTGTCCTTCCGGGGCTGTCCCGCAGGCAGCGGGACGCTCCCCCCTCAGCACCCCTGGCTCCAGGCTTGTGGGACAAGCTGAGCCCTGGCTGGGGCTTTCGCCGGGAGAAGCCGCCTTGGCTAAAGGAGAAGCTGCTGCCCGAGCCTTCTCGCGGCATTGCAGGGCCACTGCCAACGTCACCCTGCCCTCCGCCGGTGCGCAGCCGCTCCCCCTTGTCCTGTCACTCCAGGCCCTCGTCCCAAATCCATCTCCAGCTCTCTTGGAGCCTCTTTTAGGTACTGGAAGGGGCTGCAAGGTCACCCCAAAAACCATCTCTTCTCCAGCCTGGACAGCCAAAGTTATCCCTGTGTCCCCACAACTTGCCCCGCTCTGTGACTCCTGCGTCCTCCCAAGCCCAGCGCCCCAGGAGGGGGCACGGCAGCAAGCCCTGTGCTGCAGCCGCCACAGGAGCAGGAGCTCACCCAGAGACGTCGCCAGACCCCAGACTGAACCACATCATGGCCGCTGCCCTCAGACTTCCCCCACAGCAGCCTGGGCTCCCTCCCCTCCCTGAGTCCATTCCCCCAGGCCTGCTGAGGTGGCAGTTTGGGGGCCATCATGCTTATTTGGGGCAGTGGGATGTGTCAGCAGCTCTGGGAGATGGAGTGTGGCAGGTCTGGGGGGGCTTTGGGCTGAGTGTGGCTGCGGGGGTTGGCTGTCGCCCGGAGGGAACGTCACAGCTGCAGGGCCCAAATCACCCCCCGGCACCCCCAAAATGCTTCACTTGTCCCCCAACCGCAGGCACAGAGCCCCTTAGTTTTCTGCAGGGGCCCTCAAATTTCATCCCTGGTATCCCAAACTATCCCAACAGGCCTTGAAGTGTAGCTGCACAACCCATATTGTCCTTGATGGTCTCCAAATTGCATCTCCGGCACCCCAACACGCCCCATCGAGCCCTGGATTGCAGCTGTGCGGCCTCAAAGGGTCTCCGGTGGCCCCCCTGGGCACAGAATGATGGAATCACAAGGGAACGCTCAGCCCTCAGTGGGCTGCAAGAGGATCCCAGAGTTCCCTGGAAAGTGCTGGGGCTCCAGAGCTTGAAGCTGGAAATGAGTGAAGAGCTTTCTTTTACACTTGTGGCATGGAAAGCTCTGGCAGGCTGCTTTCTGCTGGGGGGCCTGGGGTGCACTGAAGGCCTCAGGAGGCTTTGCGTGTGATCATGAGGAAGATTTTCTTGATGGAAATGGTTGTCAGGCATTGGAAGAGGCTGCCCGGAGAGGTGGTGGAATCCCCATCCCCGGAGGTATCCAAGACAAGACTGGACGTGGCACTCGCTCAGTGCTCTGCTCTAGTGGACAAGGTGGGGATGGGTGCAAGCTTGGACTCAATGATCTTGCAGGTCTTTTCCAACCTAAATGGTTCTGTGATGGTATGATCTGCCCTGAAGACAGCTCCAGGGCAGGTGGAGGAGTCCTGTGGTGGGACTGAGGCCAAGAGGCCCCTCGTGGCTGCAGGAAGAGCAAACCGTGGGCTTTTGTGTCCATCGAGGGCCAAGGGAGGGCTCGTGAGGCTCCAAGGAAGGGTGCGAGGAGGGGGATGGAGGGCTTCTGCGGGGACCGGGGGACAAACTGTGGCCTCTGGAGCACATCCAAAGGTGCATTAGGGTGCTGAGGGGGCAAATGGCCCAGGCTGAGGCAACCCCAGCACAAGAGAGGGTTCAGAGAGGACTTGTGGGTCTGAGGAGGGCTCTAGGCCTGGAGGGCCTGGAAGGGAAAATGAACAAGTCCTGAGGGAATGGGATGGAAATTCAAAGTGGGGGGACTCTTTGCCAAGATAGCCTTCCTCACGTCTTTTCTGGACTCCCAGTTGTCCCCATTGGCTGTCCCCAGGCAGCGCGGACGCCCACACCAGCCCCCCAGGGCAGAGCAGGGCTCTGAGGGTGCCTGAGCGAGCCTGGCCCTCCAAGCTGGGTCCCCCTGGGTGCCATCCTCCCCCCTTCAGCCCCAAGCCCCCTCCCAGGACTCTGCCAGCCTGGCAGGGCCACTCAGCCACCCCCGGGGCAGCTCGGGGTGCCACGCAGGGGCCTGGGCTGCGGCGAAGGCCTTGGCAGGGGTCCTGAGCGGCCCAGCGCCGGAAGAGCTGTTGAGTGAGGAAAAGCTCTGGCTGGTCGGTGGGAGAAAGAGAAGAGGCAACAAAAGCCACGGTTTCTGTTAGGCCTGAGCAAATGTTATGCATTTAATGGGACTGAAGGGCGCAGAGGCCGGGCGCTGCAGTGCGGGGACAGGAAAGGGGTGTCCTGGGGGCACGCAGGGCTGTCTGAACTTGGGGCTCCTCGGGACGTCCTGAGGAGACACGAGAGCAAAGTGGGGCCTGGAGACAGACACCCTGAGGGCAGCTGGGTGCCCAGGGCTGAGGCAGGCCTGTGCCCCCAGGGACACCCTGCCTGTTCCTGCCTGCATGGTGGCTCCCCCCTGGGGCCCGTTGCCGGGGTCAGGTGCCGTGTCAACAAGCACTGGGACCTGTTGCTAGCGGCAGGCGGCGGGTTACAGCGGGACAAGCTGAGCCCTCGCTGCGTCTTTCCCCTGGGAGAAGCTGCTTTTGCTAAAGGTGAACCTGCTGCCCGAGCCTTCTCGCGACATTTCAGGGCCACTGCCAATGTAACCCTGCCCTCTGCCGGTGTGAAGCTGTTTATGTGTTTATAGTCAGCGGTACAAGCAGTGAAGGGCAGGAGAGCCCTGGATTTTCTGTAGTTCCTGGGATATGCACAGTGTACCCAGCGCCACGCGGCTCTGGACTTGGCTCGAGTTTGAGTGCAAGCATTTTCCAATCCCCAATAAAAATCAGGAGTGATAAATCACAGAATGGCTTGTGTTGGAGGAGACCTTAAAGCTCATGTCGTTCCATGCCGCTGCCATGGGCAGGGACACCTTCCACTAGACCAGGGTTGGACACTAGACTGGGACTTGGACACTTCCAGGGATGCGGCAGCCACAGCTTCTCTGGGTACCCTGTGCCAGGGCCTCCCCACTCTCACAGTACAGACGTGCTGACCGGTCCGGCCCAGGAGGCCGCGCTGCTGTCGGGCTGCAGCGGGGACCGGGGACCGGGACCGGGATCGGGGCCAGGATCAGGGTCAGGATCGGGGCCGGGATCGGGGCCGGGATCGTGGCTGGGGCCGGCATCGTGGCTGGGGCCGGCATCGGGATCGTTGCCGGCGGGCAGGGCGGATCCGCCCCTCTGGCCTTGCCCCCCCGTCCCCGCTCCGGCCATGGCGGCGCGGCTGTGGCGGCTCTGCAACCTCCTCATGGCCGCCTTCTTCGGGCTGGCGGCCGCCGTGCAGGTGAGGCCGGGGTCGCCGGGCTGGGGGCGGCTACGATCCCGGCCCCTCCGGTCCCCTCCGTCGCCCCCGTCCCTCCCGCGGGGCGTGGCCCCGGCCGGGCCGGCGGCGGGGGCTCAGCGCGCTCCTCCCTCCGCAGGTGAACGACCCCGACGCGGGGCTGTGGACGGTGAGTCCGGGCCGCCCTTCCCCTCCCTCTGCCCCCGAGCTGGGGTCGCCGCAGGAAACCTGCTCCCGGCTTCCAGCTGGAGAGCAAGCAGGCGCCGGGAAAATGATCTCTGTACTGCAGCGACGGCTGGAATCAGCCCATGCTTCCAGGATCTGCCTTATTTCACCCCAGATCTGCACCTGGCCCTACACAGCATCGGTTCCCCGTGCGGAGCACCCCGAGCCGGCCCCGTGACCCATCGCCCTGCGCTCGCCTTGATTCAGCCCCGGGACGCTCCCGCCGCTCAGCTCGGCCGGGGGGGCAATGGGGACAGACCCCCTGCTCTGCCCGCCCTGTCTCGGGCACAGGAGCGGCCCGTGGCCCCGGCCCAGTGCGCCGGGCTGGGGGCGAGGGGCACCGTCTCTGTGTGTGACAGGAGCTGTTGGGTGGGCAGGGGCTGCCCCTGCGTGTCTCCGGCGGTGGAGCCCCGCTGACAGCGGCACCGAAGGGTCGGCAAAGCCCCCCACACGGGGGGGGATCCTGTCAGAGCTTTTCCTGGGATATCAGGATTGAGGGAAGGGGCCCTGCAGTGACTGATCAGGCAGCCAGCATTTGGTAACTCGGGAGCTAAGAAACAAGGCTGGCACTCGGCTGATGGCCTGGGATTTTGGGTGGTGATGATGAAGAGGAGCACTAACAGTGCCCGAGGGAGAGGCACTGGGAGTTTCTCTGTGCCTCTGACAAACTGCTGTGAAGGGGAGAAGTACTGCTGTGGGCAGAGACTTCTGCTTTCTGACCTTGATAAGTTTTGCTACAGAGTATACTTATATGTCATTAACAGGTTGTCTACTTAGTGCCAGCTGCCCTGACACTGCTGGTCAGCATCAACCCTTCAATAACAGGTATGATACTGGTGTGCAAAGCAGAGTGTCTGTTCAAATTTTGCCCCAAAATGGTTGTTTGTTTGTTTTTATTGAACCACAGATTAAAATCAGGCCATGTGGGAACATGTCCTACTATCTTTTGAAGGCAAAAGGTTATGGGACCTGCTTCTACAAAAGCTGGTCATTGGTTTAGTGCTGGTGGCTAGATGTGCTGCAGGTGAAGAGAAGAGCCCTGCAGAAAAGTCTGCTGCTGGGATGGCCTGCCTTTGCACCCCAATTCAGAAGCCTGGGAGCTTGCTCTGAACCTGTCTCTGGTGTTGACCTTAGCACATTAATTCACTTTATTTCCTTGTTGTAAATCTGTGGTTTTGCTTATCTACCTCATGCAAGAGCAGCTGAGCTCTGCACAGTCCTGTGAAAGCACTAAAAGTCTTGTTCAGTGCCAGGTATTGCAACTGCCCCACAGAGCACGCAGGGAGCAATGGCAATGTTCAAAGGCTGCATTTCCAAGGGTGGATGCTACAGGGGCTAATGCCACTTCACATGTTCAGAGAATCAGTCAGATCAGGAAGGATATTGAGATGCTGGAGCAGGTCCAGAGAAGAGCAATGAGGCTGAGGAAGGGTGTGGAGCACAAGTCCTGTGAGGACCAGCTGAGGGAGCTGGGATTGTTTAGCCTGGAGAAGAAGAGGCTCAGGGGAGACCTCCTCACTCTCTACAACTCCCTGACAGGAGGTTGTAGCCAGGTGAGTGTCAATCTCTTCTCCCAGGCAACCAGCAGTAGAACAAGAGGGCACCATCTTAAGCTGTGCCAGGAGAAGTTTAGGTTGGATATTAGGAAGAAAATTTTACAGAGAGAGTAATCAGACCTTGGAATGGGCTGCCCAGGGAGGCAGTGGAGTCACCGTCCCTAGAGGTGTTTAAGATGAGACTGGATGTGGCATCAGTGCTACCACCATGTTGGATCAAGGGTTGGACTTGATGATCTCGGAGGTCTTTTCCAACCCAGTTGATTCTATGATTCTATGGCCAGATTTGTTTCTGGACTCCAGAACGTAGTTAATTTTTTTTGTATTTTCATTCAGTAGAAATAATTTCAGAATAAGGCCATTTTATACACACAAAGTGACTGTATCTGTTCTGGATTAATACTTATTTTGAATAGACTAAAATCGCATTTAACACCAAAAAAGAAAACCTTCAGGAGTGCATGCTGTTGTCACAAATGACACCATTGCAGGCATTCATTACCTTAGGCATATAAAGTGGAAGCCTCCATAAAGCAAAATCCTTGAGGGTTGGTTTGCTTGTGGTTTTGAACATTTCAGGGGAGGTTTATAACGTGTGATAGGTGTAGCTTCAACATAATGGCATTTGGCTAGTCAAGAGAATCTGCATGTTAAGCTCTCAAGTAGAGTTTTACCTGTGCCAAGATCTGTAGAAAATAAAGATTGTCATGACACAACTATTTTATAACTGGAGATTTATGTAAATACATCAAGGGATATTTGCCATTCAGGTCTGTGGAAGACCCAGATTCTGCCTGTGCTGAGCTGCAGTAAGTTCAGTCAAATGGGGAATTGATTACAGTGTTGGGTCACTCTGAGCCCTTGGGTCTTGGTAGCTCATCACCTTTAATGCTTGCCCAGAGGGGTCAATGCCCCAGGAAACCTGCTTTTAACTTTAGATTTTTTGCTGTTGACATTGCTGAGATCAGGGAGAACTGTCAGTGTCATTTCTTACCTCCCCCTCAGGAGCCCCTGGAAAGGGACATGGAAAACCACAAGAACCTGTGGGCCATTCAGATATTTCTCATCATCTCTATTTATCTGTTTAAAAACATCAGTCCCCAGGCAGAGATGTCATCAGTGTTGCTCATCATCACAGGCAACACCTGAGGGAGTCTCTTCAGGGAGTGTGAAGTCAGTGCTCCCCACAGTGGTGGCTGCCTAGGGGCTAGGCCTCTCCTAGGCTCCCTTGGGCCCCTGGGGTCGTGCTGAGCACCTGGTTTTGGCTGTGAGCTCCAGAAAGGCTGTTCCTCCTGCTCAGGAGAACTTCCATTTGCCATATACCTTGTGATTTTTTTTTTCCATGCACATTGAATGCTGGAACCTGTTGTGTTTGCTGCAGAGAACAGGAAAGTTTTCACTGAGGTTCTGGTGCCGAGAAGTTGCATTCCTAGGCCCAGTAGTATTTATTTTTCACAGCACTTTTTAGCAGATTTTCCTGGTCATAAAGATACTGGCAGTAATGACAACTTCCTGTCTAGGGTGTGTGTTTTGGAGGCACCTTTTTTTAGCAACTCAGTTGCTTTTAGATTTATAGGTTTACTTCATGGTAGTTGCTGAGAGTGTATTCTTTTCCTTAGATAATGGTGTTTGGAGGACCCTGTGTGACCTTCATTCTGCTGGCTGTGTGGTTGGGACCATTGCCTTGGCTTGCTCTTTGTTTGCTTACGCTCAAGGAAACATTTTTCACGAAGAGGAAGGCAGGTAAACAGTGGGTTTTCTTTGCCCCTGCCCAAATCCAGCTCACCAGGCCATCTCCTCTGGCGTCACCTTCCAAAACTTTATTTGCTGGGCTGTTGCAGTGAGTGCTGTTGGTCCAGAGGAATCAGATCAAAGAGAAGGGACCATAATGCTCCAAACCAGTGATTCCTTGGACTCAGGGAGAGTGAACAGTCATTGCTTGCCTGATTGTGGCAGGTAGATTTACCTGGGGGCAGTTCTGGCTTTCAAAGTCCAGAACACAAGAACAGTGAAAGAACTTTGTGCTCTCTTGCTGGAGCTGCAGGAATGATAATTAATGTTTCAAAACCTCTTGAGGTGATACCATATGCATGTTTATCTGGCATGGGCTGCTGAGTCCTCCAAACCGCCAGAGATTGAGGAGGAGGGAGGATTTCTCACCTGACATTTGGGTGTTGCCTAAAGTAGGTGCTTGTACTGTATTGAGGTGAAGCCCTGGCAGCTGTTCATGGTCTAGAAAACTGGGTTGCTGTTTGCACTGTGTTAATTAGAGAAATGTGCTGTGGAACTTAAGTCTAGCAGTGGAGCAAAAAGTGGAGGCAGTAATTTCTGCAGCTGTTTAGCCGGGTCACATCTGTAGATTTGTGATGCAAAGTTACTCCTTGTAAATACCTTTATAATTATAATGCTAGTAAAATATATTGATATATTGATATAATGGTAGTAAAATATATTGAGCAACCACTACTCCACTCGTTTTGGAGGTAAAATTTGTATTCTCTGAACACAGACATCTGCTTGTATTATTTTCTGATCTATTTTTCATTTGGCTTTTTAGAGAGTTGTTTGGTCTGGTAATTATTACAATATGGATGAGTCTTTGTCGCAGTTCAGCAAAGTAAGTTTTATTTTCTCCTTTTTTTAAATCCATTCCTATGTTCACACTTAGTGACTAGGTCCTTGAAACCACATACTTGATTTTGGCAGCTTGTTTTTCTGTTTCATGTCACCCTCTGAACCTTTCAGATGCCCAAGCAGTAGCAGCTGGTGCTACAGTCTGGAGGATCTCACACAGATAGAAGTCAGGGCGGGAGGAAATGTAAGGCTACATGAAACATTTTTTTCTGCTCCCCTGCCATGATGGGGACACTTTCTCTTTGCATAAGATGCTTTTTTTTATTCCAACTTGGTTTTGTAGCCTGAGTTGTCAGAAAATTATTTTCTGCTGGCACATGGTGCCTCTCCAGTAAAGGATTCTGCTGATGCACCCACAGGAGCCACATTAAAGTGGCTAAAGGCTCCCTGCTGCCTTTCCAGCTGCAGGCAGATGTGAATGTTTCATAGCAGTTGTAGCAGTGGCCACAAAGGCCAAGGACATCCTGGCTTGTACCAGCCATAGTGTGGCAGCAGGACCAGGGCAGTGCCTGTCCCTGTGCTGGCACTGCTGAGGCACCTCCAATCCTGAGGGCAGTTCTGGGCCCCTCAGACAAGACATTGAGGGGCTGGAGTGTGTCCAGAGAAGGGAACAGAGCTGGGGAAGGGTCTGGAGCACAGAGAGGAGCTGAGGGAGCTGGGGGGGCTCAGCCTAGAGAAAAGGAGGCTCAGGGGGGACTTTCTTGCTCTTTGCAACTCCCTGACAGGAGGGGGAGCCGGGGGGGGAGTCGGACTCTGCTCCCAGGGAACAAGGGACAGGAGGAGAGGAAATGACTTCAAGTTGCACCAGAGGAAGTTCAGGTTGGATATTAGGAAAAATTCCTTCTCTGGAAGAGTGGTCAGGCATTGGATGGGGCTGCCCAGGTGGTGGAGTCATCATTCCTGGAAGTGTTCAAAAACGTCTGGCACTTCACGATAGGGTTTAGTGGGCGTGGTGGTATGTGGTACAAGGTTGGACTTGATGATCTTGGAGGTCTTTTTCAACCTTAACAATTCTGATTTGATGTAGCTCTGTTGCACTTGTTCCTTTACAGGAATCCTCTGGGAGGAGTTTGCTTGGCCGCTGCAGCCGTGGTCGTCCTCTTCCCCTTTGCTTCATGGCTGTACATTTATGTGAACAAAGAGCTGCGAGCGGCTTGGCCAGAGCACTGCAAAACAGTGATTTAACTGGGTGGGAGAAAGTCTAGAGTAAACATTCTGATTGTACTTGCCTTTGCTTTTGGTGATTAGTGAAAGATTGATCAGTTTGATAGGATACAAGAATGCCTGGCTACTTCTAGCAGTGCCATTTGAGTTTTGGTAAAAAGTTGAGGAAAACTGTCAAATCTGAATGGGGAATTTTTCTGTGGAAACTGTCGTTCAACTGGCTGCTTCCTACATTTTCAAAGCACTGTTGATCTAATGTGTTCTAATGGTATATATCCTGGCATCCCTGGATCACTCTCCAACCACCTCCTACTTTGGGAAATCTACTCTTCTGTAACATGAGGGACAAGTAAAGCAAACACTGTTTCAATACATGACTATTTACAGCCATAGAACTTCCAAATATCTGCCTGGATAATCCATTTGAGACTAACTGGGAAATTGAGCAGTCTGTATTTCTATTCCTGTGCTAAAATGATATATAGAATAAATTTGAAAAATTATTTTTGCTATTAACTGAAAATCACTGGTTTTACAGAGTAATAAACACTATTTTTCTAAAGAAAACTCAACAAAAGTCTCCATATAGTTTATTTTTTGGGAGATGTGTACTTTAGCCTGCCACCAGCAGATGTGGGCACTGTCACAACTCTGCTGGCACTGTCGCAGCTCTGCTGCTCACTGGCTTTTTCCTGGAAAGCAGCACCCAAGCAGCAGCCCAGCAGCAGTAAGCATGTCCCGCTGCTCATCCTGGAGAAGGAAGCACAGGTGGATACACTGGACATATGAGCTGGGTGGGACAGAGGCAGCACAGGTCCAGGTGCAGCACAGGAACACCTTTAGACCCGTGTCAGGGCTCCTTCACTCAGCACTGCTGCAAGAGGTCACAGCTGTGCACACACAGGTCCCTGCCCGTGTATTGCACCATTCTTGCTGTAACACAGATGGTCTCCTTTCTCTTTAGGCTTAGCCTTTTCTGGGGATTACTTTAGTCTTTTAAAGCAATGTTGGAAAGCTGCATTAGGCTACAGGGTGGGTGTATTCTGCCAGACATGAGACATTACTGCCTATGATGTTCACAGAAAATAAATACGTTGAAATGCGGCTGGGCAGGTACAACTCTGCATGCTTTAATGCTCACTGAGAGAATAACAGTGGGTGGGTTTTTTGACAATATTCATAATATGGTTTGCATCTTTTCACAGTAACAAATCCAGTCTGGATTAGGTGTTTCAAGTCAACATTCTGCATTCAATATTTCAATTACTGGCCTTCTCTATTTTCCACAAAGAAATCAGGTCTGTTTCCTTACAGAAATGTAATTTCCAAAATCCTGTATCCTGAGCTAAAGCAATAAGGATCAGCCATGCACCTTTCTACAAGCAAACAGTAAGCTGAATCCCCTACGTTTTTATCCCGAGTCCTTCCTGAAGAGCAATCTGTATTTACTTGGCATTTCAGAACTGCATAACTCTGTCTGCAATTCTGCCCCTTCCCTTTAGTATCATTTTATCTTCGTAGACATAAATAGTCCCAAAAGCATTGCTTTCTGGGGGCGTTTCGATCACCCCCTCCAAGGTCAGGTGATGAACTCCATGGGAGTCCAGGCAATATCCCCCGTCGTGCAGGTGCCCCGCGAGGACACAGACCACGCACCGGTGGGAGTGGATGACAGACAGGGCAGCTTCGTAATTCCAGGCCAGGCACACCCTGTCTGAAGCATCGGGGTGAATGGGTAGGTGACCTACAGTTGAGAGGGAAAAAAACAGGAGAGTTAAACTGTAACAAAGTCTGTGTCATTGCTGTGAAGCTCAGCCAACCGTGTGCAGAAAGCTCCCCCCAGTATGGACATGGTCTGTCCTGCGCTCCTTCACAGGTTACATCTGTATCTCAGGGGAGCTACAAAGCTGCTACATGTTTTCCTCAGCTCACATACACCAGCTGTTCCCGGTATATATTCCCGGGAATATGTACCCCCCTCAAATATAGGGGTTGAAACTAGATGATCTTTAAGGGCCCTTCCAACCCAAACAATTCTGTGATTGTGTGATATATCCACCTACCCATAACTACAACTTTTTCTTGGTTTTCATCAGAGAACTTGAGGACTTCATCAAACCAGTTCAGCTGGGCTTGGCTAAATCCTCCATTAAATGCTACAAACTGAGGTTCTTTGAGCCCTACAATGAAGAAGAAAGTTAGGCACAGGTGCATACACCTCCCACAGCTCCTCTATTTGCCTTATGTAAATCTGCTTACAATAGATGGTTTACTCTCATAACTTGCGGGATTATTTTTTGCTTTTCTTGGATCAAAATTCTAGCGTCCTTGGACAAACGAGAAGTGTTTTGTTAGTGTTTTCAGGGGGTTTGGTAACACTGCATGCACATGCTCTTGGGTGTCCCCCTCAGCATGGGATGCGGTGGGCACAAGTCGCTGCTCTGCAGCTACCAACAGCTACCCCGTGTTCTGATACTGTGGGGCACAGAGCACAACACAGACCCTTCCCACGGGTAAGGGGGAGCATGTCCCATGCCCGCCTAGGGCCGCACTGACCGCAGGGAGGAGGAGGAGGTGGGCAGCCCTGGGGCACCCGCCCGAGCCCAGCTGCCCGCGCTTCTGCCGTGCCGGGTGTACCTGCGGGGCTGTTGAGGTCCTCGTTGGTGTTCTTCTCCCGCAGCAGCCGCAGGGACTCCTCGTAGCGGGGGCTGTCGGGGTCCCGGCCCAGGATGCTCAGGTCGTAGGCGTCGAGCACGACGAGGCGGAGCCGCGCGGCCGGGCTGCAGTGATAGGCCTGGCACAGCCCGTCCGGGGGCCCGGCCGCGCCCCCCGCGGGGCGGCTGCACAGCCCGCTCTGCGCCAGCCGGGCCCGGCTGAAGTTGTAGAACTCGTGGTTGCCCCACGCGTGGTGCACCGGCACCTGCAGCCGGCCCAGGGCCTCCAGCACCTGCCGCAGGGCGCCCTCGGCCTCGCCGCGCCGGGCGTTCAGCCCGTCGATGCTGTCGCCCAGCTGCAGCACGAAGTCGATCGGCGGGCTCTCGGCGGCCCAGGCCCGCACCGCGTCCCGCAGCAGGCGCAGGCTGTGCCGGTAGTAGCGCCGCCGGCTGCCGCCGAAGTCGTGCCCATCGTCCGCGTCCGCGAACTGGATGTCGGCGATGACCCCGAAAGCGACGCGCGGCACCGCCTCCATGGCGGCCGCGGGCGGGGCGGAAGAGGCGGCGCGGGCGGGGCGGAATGGCGGGGCCGGTGGCGCTGTGGCGGCTCGGCGGGGCCGTGCGGCGGGGCCGGGCCGCGGTGGGGCCGCTGCCGGGCCTGGCCAGGCGGGTCCAGGCGGGGCTGCCCGCGCCTCGCAGCCGCCCGTTCTCGCAGCTGCCGCCGGGCAGCGGCCGCCGGGCGGGCGGGCAGAGGCGGGTGAGTGAGGGAGGGAGGGCCGTGGGCAGGGGGCGCGGGCCGGCGCTGCCGCTCCGCGCTCACTGAACCCTTGTCCCCGCAGCTCGTGTCGTGGCGGTCGCTGGCGGCCACCGCCGTGCTGGGCGGGGGGCTGCTGGTCGGCATGAAGGCGGTGAAGCGGCGCAAGGAGCAGGGTGAGTGCGAGCGATGGAGGAGCAGCGGCGGGGTCGCATCTTGTGTTCAGACGATGTATTTTTTGTACTCAGGCGATGTATTTTTTTATAGTCAGGTGTATTTTATCCGCTCAGGCATCGCTCGGTATCACAGCTTTGCAGAAGGTCACTCCGTGACTGTGTGTACGGAAGTGCCGTGGACAATTTTCAAAAATTAAAAGCAAAATTCAGCGTTTGGAAGTTCTGAGGTTAGAATAGTTGTGTTTGGCTGCACGCGCTGTGCCAGGCGATGCAGCACAGACACGGAGCTGGGTGTTGTGGGCACATTGGGTTCCCTCTGTGAGGCACATGAGCTTTGCCCTCTCCTACAGGAAATGCCCACACCTTTCCTTTTCATGGATTTACTGTTGAAAACGGAGATATTACAGCTCTTAGGGTATGTTCAGCTTGCAAAGGATGCTGTTTTTTCCTATTTTCCACCAGGCCAGGTGGGAAATCCCCTTTTTCTCTTTTTTCCCCCCTTTCTTTTTAAACAAAAATGCGATCAGATAACAATAAAAAAAGATATTCTGTTTCAAAGGAATTTAGTGATATATTTGATTTTGTCCAAAAGGAATGCTTTTTGGAAGCCATGTGCATATTGGGTTCCACATGACAGGTGTTGGTGGATCTTGACCTGGCAATGCCCTGCCCATGACCCAGTGTGGTGCCTGACTTGGCTGCTTCTGAGGCTCACTGAGGAAGCAGCAGGGATTGTGACATGGATGTGTTTGATCTCCTCTTGTGTTTTGTAGAGCTGGAGAAGGAACGAAACCGAAGCATTGGGAAGCCACTGCTGGGAGGGCCCTTCTCGCTCGTGAGCCATGAGGGGCAGCCCAGAACCAGCAAGGACTACATGGGCCAGTGGGTGCTGATCTACTTTGGCTTCACTCACTGCCCTGACGTCTGTCCCGATGAACTGGAGAAAATGATTGCGGTGGTAGATGAAATTGGTATGAGAATTCAGGGAATTCAGTGGGTGTAGAGGTCCTGTTTATGGGAGGGTCAGGTTTGTTCTAATAAAATGTCACAAATGGTGATAACTGATGACCTTCTTTAAAAAATGCTGTTGGCTGCTATTCAGTGGTTGAATTAATTGCTAAATGATCCACAGATCAATCTGCCTGTCACTAGGGTCTGACATGACAGCACTGGTCATTCCATAACAGGAGACTTGGGAATAAAACATGGTGGTGGCAGATCGCAGGGAATGCACTGCATTATATTTTTGCCAAGAAGTGACTGTGAGGTGTGTTAGGATTTTTTTCCCTCTATTTTATTCATCCTGAGAACAAATCTCTGTGAGGGTCTCTCCTGAAGCAGAATGGCTGTGCTGTGGAATGGAGGGAGGGGGAAGGCCATGTGTTATGGGTTTCTCAACCTGCAGGCCCTGAAGAATTATGGGGCAGGGATAGTGGTAAACTCAGCAAGTGGGAAAACAGACTAAAGTGAAGGAAATACAGCCAAGGCTTTGGCCGGAACGTGAGGGAAAGAGCCTGAATTATGTCTTCACATTTCCTCCTGTTCCCCCATCCCTGCATGCTTCCCTTGTGTGAGCCACTGTGCTTCCAAATGTGCATCACACCACCATGTCTTCTGCAGCACAGCCAGTCTGTCATCCCTCCTGAGCAGGGCAGGGGCTCGGGGTGGGGGGCTGGAAGCTCCCAGCATAGACACAGAACATTGCGTCTCATAGCATTTGAATCATTCACAAATTAGACAGATTAAGCTCCACAAAATGGCCTTTTTAGTTCCTTAGGGTGGGCTTGGCCTGATGTTACTTGGCTGTGTGTTTGTTTGAAGGGAGATGAAAAATAATTTCTGGTTTTGTAAAATAAATAATAATTGTTAATGTCACAGAACAAATTCCATCTTTGCCTAATCTGACCCCACTCTTCATCACCATCGATCCTGAGAGGGACAACCAAGAAGCCATTGCCAAATATGTTAAAGGTATTACTGCATTCTTTCTCTGTGTCTCATAGCATGTAATACAGAGCACTGGAAAGGAACCTCTTGAAGGGATTCTTTTCACTAAAATGTGTACGTCTTGTTTCTATCTAGAATTTTCTCCAAAGCTGGTCGGGTTGACTGGTACCAGGGCACAGATTGACCAAGTGGCTAAAGCTTATCGTGTGTACTACAGCGAGGGCCCCAAGGATGAGGACAATGACTACATAGTAAGTAAGAGTAGGGCCTTTGCCTACTGAAAGGCTGTGGTTAAGAGCAGCATATAGATTTTAAAACCAGCTGTTGAATCTGTGCTGAAGTCCCAGGTGACAGAGCCCTTGTTACACTGATCTGTTAAGCTGTTTGTCTCAGTCAGAACCAAAGTGTCATCTTACAAGCTCAGAACCTCACTGAAGCGTGTTCAAAACATGTCCCAGCCTAGGCCTGCAGACAGTAGCACAGGAACTAGCAAGGCTGGCAGTTAGTTCAGTGTAATGTGTTTGACTGGCTGCTTTCCTGTGTGCTCCAAAGAGAAAATGGAACTGGGAAATTAAGGTGTCTTAGTTTAACAAGATTACAACTTAGAAATTAAGAAACTTCAGGTGGAAGTGTGGAAAAGGAAAAGAACAACTTTTTATTAACAAAATCTGAATAAACAACAAATGGTGCAATCAAAAACTTTCAGAAGAAACAAAACAAAGTCCCAATTTTCAGGGGTGGGGGGAGAAACCTGCAGCAACCCAGGGCAGGGGGAAGGGGAAGGGGGGGGAAACTGAAGGCAAAATGTCCTGGGAGCAGAAACAGATGGGTGGGGGGAAACGGGACCCTAGGAAAAAATTCCAACATCTCTTTTCAAACCTATGACATAAGGCAATAGGAAGTAGGAGAAATGAGAAGTAAAAGTGAGTAAGAACTCATTCTCTACCAAACTGACACCAAGGAATGGAGTCTTCCTGGCAAGAGACTTGGATATCTCCCTGCAAATACTGTGGGCATCTTCTTCCTGTGGCAAACAACCTGCAAGAGAGAGCATGTTCATTAATGCTAAATTAAGTGGGAATAAAATACGTAAGTAACAGTGTGAAGGAAGAAAATGAGGTTTAAGTGAGGCTGAACTGGGTAGTCAAACTTCCACTTCTCTGGAAGGGACAGGACTGGTTATAGGGCTCTGAGCTGCTGCCAAGACCTTCCTGTCTTGCCAAATTCTGAGAAAGGTGGAAGAGTAAAGCAGGTACAGGTGATAGGAAGAGTGAGGCTACACCTTACATGATCTGCCTTGTTTTTTTCTTCATTACAAGAACTGAGGACGTCAGAAGAAACTAAAAACAGGTTCAAAAGGAAAGGTAATGATTCTCATTGCAGTGGGCAGGTGAGGAGTGGAATCCCTTGGTACAGGTGCAAATGGTGGAAGTCCACAGGGAGACTTGTTCTTAGTCTTTGGAAAAAACAATCTTTTGAGGGTTATGACATGCACAGAAATCTTGTGTAGTTCAGGAAGTCTGTGAGATGGCAGTGTTTGGAAACTGGGAGGTAATAGAGGAAGGTAACATATTTTTGGTGCTGATTTTATACTCTTTCTTTAAAGCAACTGTTATTGGCCACTGTTTGCGGTGGGATGCTGAGGCAAATTGAATTTGGTCTAATTCAGTATTGTCAATTCTTAATCTGTCTGACTCCCACAAAAAAATTATCCAAAAAGATTGGGGGAGCAACAAAAGTGGTACATGGAAAGAAGGAGCAAGAGCAACACATGATCTCAGTGAAGATGAAATCACTGGTGATGTCCACTGCTCTGCATCACTGAGGTGGGAGATCAGTAACTTGTTTTCACTTGAAATGGCAACTGGAAAGATACAGAAGCCTGTGACTAAGATACTGTATTTGAATGGAGAAATTGAATGCCAATTTAAATCAATATGAAATCAATCTAAAGATACTGCCTAATATCAGACTTTTAGAAGGGGGTTTGCGGGAATGCAACAACAGGTTATAGGGACAGGTTTGGCAAAGGATGCTTGCTCAGGAGAGGGAAAAAACTCCATAGAACCTGACACTAAATAAGTGAACTGAAGTTGAGGAGAGCTGATGGAAAGAGGCCAGCAAAGCTGAATGAGTGCTGGTGCTTAGCAAGTGAACTACGTGTGGATTCTAGTGAAGCACCCCTGGATTCTGGCGTGGGCATGAAGGGACAATACGGGGGTTCAGCCGAGAAAAATAACTCCATGGATGACAGCAGCTTGGAGGGAGGCTGGAGGGTGACACTGGGCATAGGGGAAGGGATTCAGGATCCAGGAGGGGACCACTACTCTGTGTTAGGGCTGTGAGTCTGAGGGGAGGGAAGGGCAGCAAGGAAGAAAGGCCAGTGAATTGGAAGTAGGAGAGCAGCCTAGGAGCCCCAGACGTGGTGCCAGGGAGGAAGAGTATATCTGTAACTCCCCAAGATTCTTCATAGGCTCTTGCGTTTTGGCTCTGCATGCTCAGGGCAGGGGACTCAGGACTCAGGAACAGAGTGGAAACAGGATAGCGGCAACAGCAGGCCTGGGAGGGAGAGCTGGAGGCTGGTCTTGTGCCTACCTGAGACAGATCCAGGTAATTTATACTCTATCAGTTCTTCCAGTAAGGTTTTTTCCTCCTTATGTCTTGCCTGGACCTGTGTTCCCAGCTGATGAAGGAGTCTGGTGTCTGTGCAGGAGTGGGCTCTCTTTCCTCTGCTGTGGGGTGAGGAGGAGGAACAAGTCCGTTGCAGCCTTTGCTGCTTGTTTTGACTTGAAAAGAACATTGAGATGAGCATTTAGAAACGATAGTTTCTATTTGAATTTTTCAAATATTACTTGAATATTACTAGTTTCTATTTAATAATCTCAATTCTGTAATTATCAATACCAGAATATCCAATTTATATGTTTTAGTCTGCGATTTACAAGATTTGAAACTCAAATTATGACCTTCAGAGCATGCAGTGGGAACAGTGCAGGCTTCAGGCAGGCAGAGATTAAAAAACTGTTTTTTGCACCCAAACTACCCAGGGAGTTAAAATGTTCTGAGTCGGCAACCTGATTTTTCAATTTTTTTTATGCTAGCTTCCATTGGAAGGATCTAAATTGTGATTTATCTTGCTTAAGACAAATTGTCTCCTTCAGCTTGATTTTGTGATCTGATCTTGGGAAGTTGAAACTGGAGTAAATATCTGAATTAAACCTAAGTCAGTGCACAGGTGTGTTTCAGTCCCCAGCAATCACAGGTTTGTGGCCTCCATTGCCAGTACTTTGTGTCTTTGCTGATAAAGGTGTGGTCACAGTTGGGTGCAGGCAGTGTTTGGTGTTTGCAGTGGCATTTAAGTAAATGTGCTGTGGAGTTAATGAGGGCACTTGGTGTGTTCAGCTGGAGGAGACTGAGGGGAGACTTCATGGCAGTTCCACCTTCCTGGGCAGGGGCAGAGGAGGGGCAGGGACTGAGCTCTGCTCTGGGGGGACCAGGAACAGCAGCCAGGGAATGGCTGGAGCTGTGTCAGGGCAGGCTCAGGTTGGATCTCAGGCAAAGGTTCTTCCCCCAGAGGCTGGTTGGGCACTGCCCAGGCTCCCCAGGGCAGTGGGCACAGCCCCAAGGCTGCCAGAGCTCCAGGAGGGTTTGGCTGATCCTCTGGGGCACAGGGGGTGACTCTTGGGGATGGGCCTGTGCAGGGCCAGAGGCTGGACTCGATGATCCTTGTGGGTCCCTTCCAACTCGACGTATTCTTTAATTTTGATATAAATCCAGTGGAAATGCCCAGGACATCCGTGTGTGAGGCTGTGTCGGGGCCGGCAGGGGGGGCCCCTGCCCCGTTTGTTCCTGTATCCCATGGCCACTCCTGGCTCCGCTCCCCCACCCCGGTGAGGTGCTGGATCCTGCTGTTTGCCGACAGTGAGCTTGGTTTAATAAAGTACTCCTGTTTATATTGCATTTACATTCTGTTAGCAGCAGGAGCTTGAATACCTTGTGGGCATCATGAAGCATCATGAGAAGTAGAGGGAAACTGGGAGAAGACCATCAGCCTCAGGTTTGCAGGAAGGGGCCCCCGCTTAGACAAGACTCGTCTGCTGAAAGTATTTCTGCACACATTCTGAGGGTGCAACGAGTTTTCTCTGTTTATTTTATTGGGTAAAACCAGCAGAGAGCACTGAGGTGATCACAGAATCATGGAATATCCTGAGTTGGAAGGGACCCACGAGGATCAGTGAGTCCAATTCCTGGCCCTGCAGAGACACCCCAGCAATCCCAGCATGTGTCTGAGAGAAGAGAAGCAGTGATGCTGAGGTTTTCCTTGTCTTGCTTTACCTTCTTGTGGAGAAGTTTGCAGCTGCCAAAGGCTGAACTAGACACTGTTGCTGCTGACAGAGATGTGCAGGATGTTCCAGTATTTAAACAGTGGCTACAAAGAAGATGGAAGCTCCCTTTTCTTGGGGAGTCATGCAGAAAAGACAAGGCACAATAGGTACAAGTTACTCGTGGGGAGATTCTATTGGACACAAGAGGAAAAATTTTCAGAATGAGAACAATCATCCGTTGGAATAATCTCCCCAGGGAAGTGGCAGTTTTCCAGCATTGGATACGTTTAAAATTTGGCTTGACAGGGTCCTGGGCCATCTTGTCCAGGCTGTATTTTTGCCAAGAGAGATTGGACCAGATGATCCATGAGGTCCCTTTCTGACCTGGTGGTGTGTGATTCTATAATCTCTTTTACCAAGCTGTGTTGTGCTCTCTTGCAGGTGGATCACACTATAATAATGTACCTCCTTGGGCCTGATGGTGACTTTGTGGACTATTATGGCCAGAATAAGAGGAGCACTGAGATTTCAGCTTCTATTGCTGCACACATGAGAAAATACAGATCCTAAAACACAAGGTCTTCAAAGATTGCTGTGAACATCACCTGTGGGTTTGGCTGTGGTTGGACACTGGCATTAAAGCAGAAGCACACAAGTGTAACATCCTATCACAACATGCGTCCTTTCTTCCAAACAAGAAAGGCAATCCTGTTTCTGCAAATTACCATTACCAAAGATCTCTGCAGAGCCTTCCCTGTGGATATTATTTGCAGCAAGATCTAGGCTACCAAGTGAAATTTGGGACTTCTCTGAAACATTGTTGGGAGCAAAAAATGCAAAGCACTTTTCATTTGGGAAGAATGTGTGTGCTGTTGGTAAAATTAACTGGTATCTCCTGGCAAGACACCAGCAAAGGACAGTCACTGCAGGAGGACTGCTTGGTGAAAAGCCATGGGGCCATGGCATTCTCAGAGGAGCTCTGCCCTTTGGTTCTTCCATACTGTCTTGCCTTCTGGGAGAGGCAGTTGCACTATTAAAAGCAGGAGAGCCTTAAGAGCGCTCCTTTATCCAGGTTAAGAAGGTGAAGAGCATGGAAAGCACCGTCAGCTTCCGTGCGTGAGACCAGCCTTGTAGCGTGCCTGATCTCTTCATCTGAATGCAGAAATGAAAGGGGGTTTTCTGATGATTTTTCCAGGTGAACACTGTTCACTTGTAAGGAAAAGAGAAATGGGTTGCAAATAGGTTTTTCTTCTGGTGTAAATGATTGTGTGCATAGTTGCTCTGCTTGTGCTGAGCAGGGAAGTAGGAGGGTGGAGGGGGCTGTGTCCATGCAGAGGGCTGGCAATCAGATGCATTTTATGCAGTGCAGCGTTTGAAAATAAAGATTTCTTTGTATAGGCAATATATATTTTTCTTTCCTTAGTTGGATTTAACTGGAATATCATCAGAACTTTGTATGCCGGTCAAGCTTCATGTTCTTGCTGTGCTTTCCCTCTTTTTAGAAAGCAGTCTTTATTTCTAGTTGTGCACACCAGAAGCCTAAGGTGCTTTTTTAAGGCAGCTGAACCCCACAGAATGGCCCATAGGAGACAAACCAGAAGAGTTCTTGGTGTGAGTCCCAGAGTGTCTTAGACTAAACACAAGTGTTCCTGCAGGTAGCACTGGTGTTCTGAGTGTGGGAGAGAACATTCCTGTCCAAGGGAAGGTGTAGGGTCTGTGGAAAATTTCTGTCTTTCCAAAATTGTGAAAAACAGTAAACTTGACCTGTTCCAGAGCAATTCTAAACCACAATTGAGGAGTGCAGGCCCACATCAACTGCCCTGTACTGTGGTGCCTCCTGAGGGTGTCTGGAATGTTGCTGTGGTATGTCTCACACGGAATTCTTCTCGTAAAGGTCTCTCAAGGAAGGAAGATTCCCAAAGTTCCAAGATAGGATATTTTTTTCTTTGCCTTTCAAATACTACATAGTTTAAAGAAGGGGTTTTTTGTCTTTTAGAGCAAGATTTTTTTTTTTTAATCAGTTTGCAATGGGAGTTTTGAAAAGTGTCCTGGTAGGCTTAACCTCAACAGCTGAAAAGGAAATTAGGTTTTTTTTTCCTCTTTATGCTGACTGGGTTGATTGCAGTAGGCAATAGGAGTGGTTCCAAAGGAAATTTTACACTTGAGTCTCCTATCAATAAGAAGGTGCGTCAAGTCCAATGTGTTATCAATGGTATTGGTGTCTGTGATTAGTGGTACCCTGACAATAATGATTTTGTTTTCATGGATGGTCTCACAAGTGTCAGCATTGTTTCAGAGAAGCCTTTCCTTGCTGTTTGTTTTTCCCCACAATCCTGAAGGTAACTAATTTTCAAAACTTCCCTTACAGAGCTGACTTTTGGCACCTCTTGGCCCTGTGTTTCCATGTGCAGGTGGCTGTGCACCAGTTTGTTTTGAAACAAGACAGGCCATGGCTTGACCTGCTGCTGATAGTCCTGTGGAAGCTGGGCTGGAGAACTCTGGAGCTCCACCAGGGCAGAGTAGAGGGGCAAAATCCCCTCCCTTGACCTGCTAGCCATGCTTCCCTTGATGCAGCCCAGGGTGTGGTTGGCTTTCTGGGCTCCCAGTGAACATTGCTGGGAATGCTGAGCTTTCTGTCAGCCAATGTGTATCCAGTATTGATGCAGGAGACGTGATGGGAGTGGGACTAAGCAATGGAGCAGCTGATCCAGGAGGACACTTTGTCTCTTTAAAGTCTGTTTGTGCTTCTCCTAATTATTCCCAAGCACTTAAGATAGCCTGTGGAGAAAAGATGGATTTCAATATTGTAATTTGACTCTTTAGGGAATGGAAAGACTCGTAATACTTGTTTTTCAGCCATATCTGTCTTCCAAAAGGAGTGGGAAAGAGACTGTTTCAAAGGTAAAAGTGCAGAGGGTTGATTGTGGGGCTAAGGGAGAGGGAGGATGTATTTATTTAAAGGCCATTTTATGTAACTGATCACTGAGTGGAGGAGTGGTTTGATTTTGTAAGGTAACCTGTTCCAGGCACAGGGCATGGCCTGGGTTCCTGTCTCTTGTGGCAGCGTGGGGATCTCTGTCAGCAGCAGGCACTGACATGCCAGCCTTGTCTTTGTGCCATGTGGGTGTTTCTCCCTTCCCACACCAGTGCCAAAACTCCTCACTGAACCCTCCCTTGGTGTTTGGGGGCTCTGACTACCCCTCTGTTTCCCAGGGTATGAGAAGCACGGCAGTTTCCTTGAGCCTTCCCCAAAATCACTGTGCTGCTGGTGGTTTGCATGGAACGGGGCACGTGCAGGCTCCACAGCAGGAGGACTTTAGAGAGAGGGGGTTTAGCTGATGGAAAGGAGACACTCATGCAAAAATGTCAGGAGAGGGCCTGTTGCTCACCACAATGATGTGCAGTAGGTTCTGATCAGTTGTTACTGGCAACAGGAAAGAAATAGTGGAAACTGACTGTAGTTCCTGAAGGAACTCAGTGCCATGGTCTAGTGACCGCGGCAGCAGTGGATCAAGGGTTGGACCTGATGATCTCAGAGATCTTTTTCAACCCAGCTGATTCTATGATTCGATGATTGCTGGATAGTGGTAAATTGCTGCTAAACAGCTACCGCTCTCCTCATGTCTGTGCAACAAGTGCTGGCTCTGTAATGAAGTCAGTCCTACCACAAGATGCTCCTTTTTCTGCTGGGTGACTCCACATGACCCCTCCCATGCATTTTCACATACATTGGGTACTTGATCTCTTTCATGAGTGACACCTTCAGATCTGTATTTATTCAACCCCTTGTGAGTTGTTGGTGTTTGTGGAGGCTTCAGGGCCAAGTCTCTGCCCCATCTTTTACCATCCCGTGGCTCTGCTCTGCACAGCAGCCTTTGTCTGCCCTTCTCAAGGTCTCTGCTGTCACAGCAGGCTTGTATTTCAAATATTGCAGCAGTGTGTTAGTGCCAAATACCTTATTCTGCACAGAGTACAGTCTGTGTAAAACCAGGATTGTATGAGGCAATGGTAAGTAAAAATAAAACAAATTAGCCAGAAACACCTGCTCAGAAGAAAGAATTGGTGTTACAGCTGAGCCAAGTTAAAGCAGGATTTGGACAAGGGGTGCCTCTGTCCCGAGGCTTTGCGAACTCCGCTCATGGGCTGCAGCCTGGAAAGGGTCACCCCATTTACCCTGATTTCCCTAAAGCTCATTTGCAGCTGACTCAGCTACAGAGACAAATGCAGGGTTCCTGTCTTCTCCCAAATGTTTTGACAGAAGTGTCACATCCTTTATCTTGTTTTTCTGTGCCCTGAGAGGCAGAGCCAGCTGACCTAGGAAGACTGGGGTTGTGTGGGAAGGGCCCAGAGAAATGTAGGATGGAGGGATGTGTCCCTTGCCTCCCAACAGGATGTCCTGCTCCCTTCTGCCTCTCACATTGACTGTGCTGATCACTGTTCCCTTGGCCTTTCCCAGGAGGGAAGCTTTCTTTGGTAGTGAGGCGGGTTTTTTGTTGTGTTTGTTTGTGGGGTTTTCATTTTGTTGTTGTTTGGTATTTGGTTTCTTATTTGTTTGGAGTTTTGTTTGTTTATTAAAAACAACAAAAATGTTGTTTAGGCAACTTAGGATTTCACTGCCCTGCCTTGCTGACAACAGGGAGCACAGGTCTGTTCCCTGCATGTTTAGGAGGCCCAAGGACTTTGCCAGGTGATCAGTGGGAGGAGGCAGAGCTGGTTGGGGGGGACAGCGAATGTGCTGTGGGTGCTTGGAGATGCTTTGTCAGTGGATGTTCAGCATTTCTCCTGTCCAGTATTAGAAATGGATCAAACTCCCTCTGTAGGTGTTGTACCCAAATTCCCTGTAGCCCCGAGCACAGTGCCCGGCCCACAGGGAGGGAGCTCAGCTCTGGCAGGGGCAGGTTTGTGGTGGGGCTGTGCTGGTCACTGGGCTGGGGCTGGGGGATGCTGGGCTCCCTAAGTGGGTCTCCCCTCTGGAAACTACTGGAGGACAAGTTTCACTTGGGAACCAAATTTGTTGGAGCCTGGTGCTGTGCAAAGTGAACCTGTGCTACCTTGGGCAAATGGGAGCCCCTGAGTGCCCATGACAGAGGGAGGACAGAGCACAGTCCTGGCTGGGGCCAATCAACAGAGCTCTGCTGTGTGTGCCCAAGGCACACCCAGCCCCAGGATATGTGTCCTGGAAACCAATAGAAAACAGCATTTTCTCTGAGTGGCTGAGATCCATAACACTGGTGCTATCCCAGGCTGGGGGCTAGTGACAAGATGTCTGAGGAATGAGGAACAGCTTCATTTGTCTGCCCAAGGAAGGCAACACATTCCTCATGCTGTGGAGGAGCTCAACTAATGAGTGATTCTTAAGCCACCTGGATGAAGCTGGCTGTTTTAGGAATTTTCTCAGCACCAGCATGGGCAGAGCCAGGGACTGAAGAGGTACAGAGACTGTGGCTTTTAAACATCTGCAAAGTCCTGTATTACATTTTCAGCCCAGATCATAGAATAACACAGATATGAAGGACCCTTGGGAGCTTTGTAGTCCAACCTCCTGCTCAAAGTAGGGGCAGTTGCAAGATCAGACCAGGATGCTTAAGGTTTTAAACAGCTAGGGCACAAAAACCTCCAAGGATGGAAGCTGCACAACCTCTCTAGATGGGTAAAAAAATGTTTCCTGCTAAAACAAGTATTTTTCTTTATATCCAGTTTGAACTTCTCATTTCAATCAGCATTTTAACTTCACCAGGGTGAAGAGACTGATTCTATCTTCTTGACAGCCTTCTCATAGGTGTTGGAAGGCTGTTGTTAGATCCTCCTGAAGCCTTGTCCTTCCCAGTCTGGACAAGCCCTCTTCCCTCGTCCTCTCTTTGTGTTGTATGTGATGGTCAGCTCAAAGTCCCTGACCGTCTTGACCTCAGATTCACAAACTGTTCCCGGCCCAGTCCCAGTATGTGGGGTTTTTTTAAGGATGTTTTCCTTTCTGGGGGCCACGCTGCGCTACCTGGCAGGGGTTGTGGCCTCGAGGGAGAGGAGAGGAGGAACTTTGGAGCACACAGAGGTTTGCCAGTCCAGTTTGGGGGAGGGGGTTGGGTGGGCCGTGGGGTCCCTGGACTGGCAGGAGGGTGGGCAGAGCAGTCCTGTTTGGAGTGTCGTGGGTGAGCAGTATGAGGGAAGATCTGTGGTAACACAGTGAGGGGGAGGGTAAGGTCAGGGTGGGTAGTGGGTTCTTCCAGGGGGTTGGGGGGTTTAGGCTGGGCTGGGGCTGTGGGAGGTACCCGAGCCCTGGGTGGGTTCGGGGACCCTTTATCTGTGTGCCCACCCTGCCTGGGGGTGCCTTTGGGATCACTCTCTGTTCCGGCGCTGTTGCAATGAGGGCAGAATGTGCTGAGCTTGGCTTGCGTGTGGCTACTGCCCAGGAACGGTTTGTTTTGGAACTGTAGCATCCTGAAAGGGTGCTTAGGGCAAGGGAATGTCCCTGGGAATATCCCTGGGTTTGAGTGTAGGTGGCTGGGGGAGAAGTAGGGAGTGAAAGGCTTGCCCTAACCATTTTAGCGGGGGAGAAGCTTGTGCATAGAAGCCCCTATGAGGTTGTGAGCTATGCTTGCAGTGGTACGTGCCTTCGGCAGGGTCTCCTATGCCAGACAGGTCAAAACTGAAGGGTCAGATAAAATGTGTCCATGGGCAGGATGAGCTCACTAGCCTTCTGGGAGTCATCCTAGGAGAAGGACAACTCTAACTCCAAACCCGGGCAGATGGAACTCGCTTAGCCCTGTGAGGCCATCCATCTAAGAGGTCACTCTAAACAAACCTACGTCCTGAGGACCTCGCTGCCACAGTCCAAGCTCACTAGGCCCTGGCAGATGAACCTTAGGACTAAAGGGTGGGGCCAGTTCTGCGCATGCTGCGTCTCACCTAAAAAATCCATTGCGCAGGCTCGAAGGATTTGTAGCAAGTGTGGATAGAGTCCTTGCCAAATCTTCGTTCGCCAAGCCTAGCCATGATGATGATGATGATGATTTCTTTACTGGGTGCAGAACTTTGCATTAGTCTTTGTTGAACTTCATAAGGTTCTTGTCAGCACATCCCTCCGGCCTGCCTGGATCCCTCTGGATGGCAGCTCTGATCCAGAGGTATTGGCTGTCCCTCCCCGTGTTGCCCTTTGCAAACCAAGATAAGCCAGTGTGGTGTTTCCTCTGCCAGGTGATTGACAAAGGGGCTACCCCAAGCACATGACCCATCAACAACTGTTCTCTCCTACTGCCAGCCAGGTTCTTCACCCATCTAGTTGCCCACCCAGCCAGGCCATGAACTCCTCTCTTGGACCCAACAGTGTTGTGGCAGGTGGTTCTGGAAGCTGAGGTTGGTCAGTGCCCACTGTTCTCTCCACAGCTGCAGATCTGGTCATTCCATCACAAAAGGCAATTGGGATGGGCAGGTGTGATTTACTTCATGATAAATGGACACTGACTGTTCCCAGGCACCTCTTTTATGTCCCAGAGATGTACTCCAAACACATTTCTTTGTGCATTTTTCCCCTCTTCGCTATTTTTTGTCTGCATCTAAAGAAGAAACCTCTCAGATAAGCAAGCTGATGTCTCCTGAGAGGATGTGGGAGGCAGGTTGGGCCTTGGTCCACAGTCATCTGGGCAAAATCCAAGTCAGGTTTTATTTTTCCATACTCTGTCACATGTATACTCCCAGTGTGAAAATACTCTCTGTGCCTGCAGGGATAGCCAAAAGGCCTCAGCCTAAATCCAGTTTTGATCATAAGGAGATTGACCTGGATCAAAAGGCTGTGACACAGGAATATATCTGCTCCATGAGCAGCTGCCGAGCTCCCTTGTGCAGGCGGGTGCAGCAGAGCCTGTGGCTCCCTGGCCTGGTCCAGTCTGGGCCTGGTCCTCAGTGTTCATGCCAAAGGAGCTTGTTTTTGCCCAGGAGCTGTGGAGCAGCTCTGCTCTCTGTACTGAGCTGGAGCTGTTCCCCAGCGTGAGGCTTTTGGAGCAGGGCTTTTTGGAGCTCCAGCCTTGTGCTGGGGCAGTGAGGGCTGCCCTGGTCATGGGTGCTCACACAGGGCTTTGTGCAGTCCCTGGGGTCTGTCCCCAGCCAGAGCATCCTGTCCTGTGTCCAGGACAATTTCAGGGCAGGTATTTCCCACAGCACTGGATTTACCTGCTGCCTCCAAACAAGCTCCCATTCCTGTTGGTGCCTGCTGGGCCCCTGTGCTTCCAGGGCTTGGTGGGTCACCACAGGGTCTTGCTGGCCTGGTCCTCTGGGTGCTCCTGGGTTGCTGGCCCACCTGTCATCAGCCATGCTCCGCTTGGCACAGATTTGTACCAGCACCTTCTTTGAGACAAAAACAATCTCAGGAGCACTTCCAAGCCACTCCAAAGCACAAAACAGCCAGCTTGACTCAGGGGCAAGCTGCAGTGCCAGTGAGAGAGGGCAGGGAAGAGGGCTGCAGTGCTCAGGACTGCTCTGCTGTGCCTGTTGCAAGGGCTCATGGATTGGAAGCTGCTTTTGTGTCTTAGGTCCCTGTTCCTGGATATTGGGGTTACAAGGAGGCAGCAGGGGGGTTTCTGCTGGCACAGCTGCCTTAAGCACAGGCCAGAGCAGATTTTGCAGAGGGCACCAAAACACGCAGCATTAGGCCAAGGGATGGGACAGACCTGGGGGCAACTGTGGGGTGCCTGGAAGACCGAAGTGTGCACTTGAGCTGACACCCGGCCATGTGGCTGCCACTCTGCTCGTGTTCCTCCACAGCAGCTGCCACAGGCCCTGCAACCCTCCGAGCTCTTCCCAGCCCTGTTGCTTTTCCCTGGCCCCCTCCCCTGGGGTGAGCAGTGCTGTGCTGCTCACACAGGGGTTCAGCTGGTGCAGACTTAGGGTTCAGATGATCAGCTGTTCTTGTGGGAGTTCTCCAGAAACTGCAACCATGGCTCTGAGCTTCAGTGACAAAGTTTTCTGACCATTGCAGGAAGCTGAAACTCAGCATCCTTCTGCAGCCATCCAGAGCCACTTCATCCTTGCTGCTTGCTCACAGCCTGAGGAAGAGAGCAAGTCTTGCCCATCCCCAGCCTGGGCCAAGGCCATGTATGGTTGGAGATATTGTTGCTCTTTCTTCCTTTCTCAGTGCCTTTGCAGATATCTACATTTTATGAGCCTTTTCTCACTTGATAAGACTTGCATGGTCCCAGCATTGACCCTGCATTCCAAAGATGTGCTCCCATTGGCCCCTAGCCAGGATCTG